GAGAGAGAGAGAGAGAGAGAGAGAGAGAGAGAGAGAGAGAGAGAGAGCAAACTATTTTGATTGTAGATAATTCTTTGATAAAAATTATAACTTATAAATTAGTATCTTTTGGAAATACCTATATAATACAAATATATAGTAAATAATAATGTTCAAATTAGGCCCAGAGTGCACCCGGGAATTACTGTTATAAATCGAAAGTACCCTCTGTAAGAAGTAAGGTGGTATATTTCATTTGGCCAGACGACCTCGGGTATGGCCGTGGTGACCACTTTTATCGGGAAAAATTTGAATATCAAATCTTGTATCTTATGATTAAGTGTATCATATTATATATCAATGGATAGGTATGGATGAGTGGAATAATATTCCGAAGGAATTTTCCAGATCCGAGTTACTAAACAAAAGTTATACCAAAATTAAGAAAATTGCTATCAATTTTGTACGTTATTTACGGCTATAGGCGTTTTTGTTTTATCTCATTTATTTGAATATTAAATATAATTGAAATGATAATCATTTTTACAAATTCAAAACATTATTAAATTTTTAATTTACAATTTTGGGCCATTTATGTATTGAAATTGAACTTGGTCCTTTATATTGTATGTAATTTTATTGATAAATTATCTATAAATTTATTACCATATCATAAATTACATAAACAACATATTTCAAAATCAGCTAAAATGAATTATGATAGGTAAATTAAAGTTTCCAAACTGAAAGTGTTATTCAGTAAACATATCTGTATTGATAAAACAATATACTGTATTGTATTGTAAAGTACTTTACATATACTGTATGTAAAGTGAACAAGTTTTACTGTACAAGTGAATTTACAAGTGAAGATAAAATAATTGGATTCATGTATTTGAATACAAACCAATTGGTTATCAAGTTTTATATATTGTATTTATATATTTACTTTAGATTAGATAATAAAAGCTAATAAATAGACATTTCTATAACAAATGAAATACAATTTATTAAAAGTTATTAATTTTTATATAAATTTTGTATATAATTGTGATGATTATTAACGGCAAATAAATTTTTGAAAAACATAATAAAAATTTAGAAAAATAACGATTAATACTTTAAAATAAATATTTTAACCATGATGAATACTGTAGACGTGTAATTCTTGATGCCATTGCTATCAGTATTTAAATATAATATACAGGGCGTGAATAATGCCCGGTATATACCCGAGACATGTCAGCAATATATTAATTAGTAGATCACAGTCACAGCCCTTTTCCAACAGTACGCCCAACGGGGGTAAAAAGATGGCAAAAATGATCTTGCATATATCCGAACAGGTAAACGGCATGACTAGTTATAAGCGCTTGTTGTTGTTAAAAACAAACTAGAACAGTTAGAATAGTGTTAATAATATTATGCACAATGATATAACCGTTTTTATCATACGTTTTCGAGCAAGTGGACTTGAATATTTTTATTTTAATTAAGCACCACTAATTAATACAGTTAGTACTGTCCTCGATTCAAATTATTTATAATAGTTTTTTGTTGTTTGATGGTGGCTTTATATGCTATTTATGGTCTTATCATGTTCAACTGTCACGTATTATTACAAAACTACAGTACACAACGCTGTGGTATTCCATTATTGTTTAGCAACCCTGCGATAAAAGTGACAGAAAATTGTACTATACTAAATGGACTATTTACAATTATTATTCTGTTGTTTTCACCAACATGGTGCAATCATTAATGACTCATTATACAAAATTAAATAAAATTTTTATTAAAGCACTTACGTAGAATTTAAAAATAAATCTATTTTAATTAAACGGCATGAATTTTAGTACCCAGTACAGTTTATTCAAACCCGTATTATAATAACTTGTTTACAATTATCTCATTAAATATTTGCTTAAATTTAGTTTATTGAACGACACTTTAGTAGATAAATAAATTTTATTTAATAAATACAATTTACATTTTGCATATATTTTAATTTAAGTTACTTTTATTGGTAATACACTAAACATTAGAGAAATAAGTTTATTTATAGTTAACATTGATAGATTATTATTTTGATTTATCAAAGTAAAAGTTTAAGTATATTTTGATACATGCTATTTTTAGCTACAAACATTTCTATTTAAATTATAAATAGAAAATATTCTAAGCTACAATTATATAAATTATCATCATAGAGTAAATATGTTTTCCATATTCAGAAAACAAGTCAGATCAATATTTAAATATAATATACAAGGCGTATATAATACCCGGTATATATCCGAGACATGTTAACGCTATGGCAATCAATAGTTCACATTCACAGCCCTTCTCCAAAAATACGCCCAATGGGGGAAAGATGACGGCAAAAAGTATCTTGCATATGTCCGAACAAGTGAATGGCATAGCTGATTTACAAAATCACTATATTAATTATTAACAAATTATAAATAAATTAAATTATTAGTAATTTATAAAATTATTACCAAAAATATTTCAATCAATATTAATTATAAATTATAGTGATTACAATTTAATTGATATTAATTTTTGCAATTTACCTTAATGTTAAAATAAGTATAAAATCTAATATTAATCTAATAGATGTTGATAAAACTGATACAAAAACAATATTGACAAATAAATAATCAATAAATATGCTATGGTGGAATATTTTAAGAATCAAAATTACTGTTTTAATGTGCAAAAGTAATAATCATTAGGTACATTGCAATCAAATAAACATTAAATAATTTTATTGATTACAAGCCATAAATGAATTGCATATTTTATTTGACAATTGTTACCATATCTGAAATGTCATCGCATTTATTTGTCAACTTAATGTTCACTCTTTATAGTGAATGCAATTTCTTTTTAATAATAAATAAAATATTGAATTTATTGATAATAACTAGTTGCTTATTACATTTTAAGTGAACATGTATTTAATGATAAAAAATTTTATTATTGCGTGTATTAAGTAATGTAAAGTATGTGTTTTCAAAATAGGGTTATTTTATACCTTTTGAAAATATACCTGTATTGTATTACACAATAATGCTCTAACACTATCTACCTAGGGCTAATAAAATTTGTACTTGCTCTAGAACATGAACAAAAACCACGTACCGTGTTACTACGCATATTGATGCATTCACTTATAAGTGAATTTTACAGATTTTTATTTCACTTTGACTTTCATTGCAAATAATTTGTATATTTCACTTAATAATCAATATTTCAAAAACTACCTTAACTATATCCGGATATAGGTGCACTCCTTGTGTAAAAACTCTTATATAAGTGAATGCACTTATATGCGGGGTAAAACGGTAGTAACATATTGAACTAAAGTTTAGTTCTAAATTATAATATACGTGGATTGCATGTTGATGTTACAATAAAGTACTAATAAACCATCGAGCAATATTTGAAAATTGATAATATATTCAATATGTAATAAAATGAATAATAAATTTATAATTTTCGTCCTAATCATGCAATCGATTTGATTCATTGTGGTAAACAATCTGGATTCCGGTTGTTTGTCTCCCAGATTATCAGTTAATACTTGAATGTATTGTACTTTACAGTCTGTAATAGAGTTATATGTGTTACATTAGCTTGAGTATAATGTAAGTACAATAAACCAATTATGATAACTTGGTTATTTTGGTAACTTGGTTACAGTATTGGCTTTTCATTAATAATATAAAAAGTAATGCAAGTAAACTATTTATCTAAAAATATCAATGACAATTAATAACTTTATAGTATTACATATAAATTTTCTAATAGACTATAATGTACTCTTGTTTATGTGAACAGATAATTATACAATAAATAATTTGTATAAGTACCCTTTTGATATTACACTATGATTTAAAATTATTTTAAATGAATTTAAATGAATTAATTATTTATTCTTATACTTTATAAATACACGGATTATTTTGGAAAATTTGTAAAGATAAATAAATTTTTAGTAATCATAATAAAAGTATTACAGTATAAGTATAAGTATCAAAGTATCAAAGTTTGTATATTTTTTGCATTAGTATACATTAACGAAGTAAAACTTTAAATAATCAGGGTCCAACACACATTAGTTTGCAGTAAGCTAGTTAAATTGGTTTTTTTTAAATATCTCATAACGTTAATTAAACTAATATTGGTTTAACTAAACAACAAACATTAAGTAATAAAATTAAATCACCATGGCTATTGAATAGAAATAATAGCAAAATAAATAAAACAAATAAAACTTGATTGCAACGGATATACACCAGTACGTTTACAAGAAGTATTTCACCTTTAACAAATCAATCATTGAATGGCATTAATAATACCCTATTGTAAATAGTATCAAGCTCAGATAAGGTGTACCAAAACGAGAGAGCAGATACATGAATATAAATCATATCTATGAGTTAATTGTATTATATTTATAATTCATATTGTGCTATATTATTCATTCATTTACAACATTTCAATTCAACTCATCGGTATAACGCGCACAATATTATAACCATCAAGTATTTAGTTGTATTTTACATTTATTAATTGTTATGTTTGTAACTGATTTAATTTTATATAAATTTCTAATTATATTTACAATGTTTTATTACTTTAGCCATGCCATTCACCGATTCTGATATATGCAAGATCATTTTAGCCATATTTCTGCCCCCGTTGGGCGTGTTTGCCGAAAAGGGCTGCGAATGTGATCTACTAATTAATATATTACTCTGTTGTCTCGGGTATATCCCCGGTATTATACACGCGTTATATATTATTTTTAAGTATTAATATTGTTACAGAAATCTATGTTAAAATCATTTATTAATTATTTAAACTTTTAATTAATGCAATGATAATTGTATTTTAAAACAAAATTATTAATTTATATTGAATATTTTTATAACATATTTACAATAAATAATACACTTTTATAAAATATTAATAAAATGTGTAATTATTTTATTTATAATAATTTTATTTTATAAATTGTTGGCAAAATAACTTTACAACGCATTACAAAGCCTGTTATCACCAAAAAAATACCATTATGTTTAATTAATGATAAGATTATAAAATAATGCCTCAAATTATGTGGCATTTCAATGACAAATGTTGGATGCAATGGAAAATGATATATACTTTTTGCATTATGACAAACAATTTAAATAAATAATTAAATCATAGCAAACATATAAGTTATATGATATAACAATCAAATTATTAAAAGATTTTTTAAACAACAATAACATAATTATAAACATTTAACTCATTATAACATATTTTTAACAACAATTAAAAAGCAAAACTCAAAACACAACCAAAAATTTCGTTACAAACGACAAAAACAAAACCACAGATTGAAAGCACCGGTAGTCCACAGACAGCGACTCTCAAAACCATACAAACCATGGGTTATATACACTTGAATTGGCGGACAGTGGGCGCAGCCATCGCGGCGCTGATCCTCGTGGCCATCGCTATCGGCATTTGGTTGAAACTGAGGCCAAAGGGCGACACGGGTTCGGCCGGCAGCGGTCTGGTGGGCAAACAGGAGTCGGCCAGCGGTGGGTCGGAGTCAGTAGTGGTCAGCAAACAGGATTCGACGCCCAAATTTGCGCCGCCCGGCGCTCAGCCAAAGCCAGCCCTCAGAAAACTCAGCGAGACTGGAGGCAAAGGGAGTGGAGCCGGTGCTGGTGGTGGACCAGGAGGTGCTGGTACCGGTGGTGGAGGTGGTGGTGCTGCTGGTGGTGGCAAAAGTAGTCCCGGTGTGACCAAGGTTGCTCAGCCCAAGAAAACAAAATAATTTTTGGTTTCATTTGTTTTGAATTGAAAATACAATTTATAGTTTGTTTTGAATTTTGCTTTTTAATTGTTGTTAAAAATATGTTATAATGAGTTAATTGTATTATATTTATAATTCATATTGTGCTATATTATTCATTCATTTACAACATTTCAATTCAACTCATCGGTATAACGCGCACAATATTATAACCATCAAGTATTTAGT